ACTGAACATTATCTGCTCCCAGGACACTCTGCTCTGATTTGATCTTGGACTCAGCCAACTTCCGAGGCGGCAGCTATCACGCCCAGCATAATTTCGTTTGCACATATCAAATTTTTGCACTTGATAAATAATTAAAAAGGTTGTCAGCCCTACGTTTGGGTGACTGCCCCAATGCTTGTGAATGCATAAAAGTTATTAAGATTCCTCATGGCCAGTGCTACTGCTAACTAAGCATATTCCTCGGAATCTCTCCCTCTACACATCGCCCTCTCGCCCTCCTGCCCTATCGCCCTCTGAGCTTGTGAACTTTGCAGCTGTCAACTGACCCAGTTTGCAGCTTATCTAGAGGATTTGTTATTTTATGCAGCCTCACATTGAATATGTTCTAAATCAACTACTAGCATGAGCCAAGCATGATAATTGTGTGAGTGTCAATAATTGGGTAACGTGCGCAAATAAATTTCCATATATACACACATACACATATATATTTATATCAGTGTGTATTTTGGTGTGTGTGCTTGCAGCAGCGAGGCTAATTCATCAACTTCTGTGTTGCGGTTCTCTACCTACAGAGCTGCTGCGGTAAACTGTCAATTAGCTGCGTAATTGGTTAGCTCTTTACCTGGTCTAAGATGAAGCTCTAGATTGGTGCGCAGATTTCAGACTATCAACAACACAATAATTAGCTGCTAGAGCACTTGGGCTTCTTGCACGCCACTCGAATTGCCAAAGCAAGTTGACTTAAGCTGATTGCGATTTGCAGACTATCAATCGACGAGTCGACTGCAGATTTCAATCTGCATTTCCTGCTGCTGGTGTTGCTGGTTCATCACACTTTAACTAGAAGTGAAAGCCAATCGATTTTATGCCATTTGCCGTTTTTTGCACTTGCCATGCAAGTGAATTTGAGTGGAAGACGTGTAAAGCGACTGGCACTGGCTGGCTGTGCCGCAGCGCGCTAAAGGCTTGGCAAACTGCGCTCCACTGATACATCACCAAAACACACACCCTCGCAGCAGCAAGTCTTTTTTGTGAGCTTCAAGCCGCATATGTCTGCTCTTGCCATTCTTTATATTCGTCTCTTGCTAAGCTCTATTTATTGTTGTTACCCAAAACACACCTAAGGACTTAAACAACCACAGACTGTGCTACAATAAGCTTCCATTGAGGCTGCCCAGTGGCAAATTATAAATAGTTCTCGATTTATTTCCGCTATCAACTTTTTGAAAATTATCAGCATCAGACTCGGTTTTATTGCAAATTTCTAGTCCAAGTTTTTTGTGCATCACTGCGAATGTCTGCCTGGATGAGAGCGCTCATTGTTGTATCGCAATTACATGCTCAACTTGCAGGGCTTGAGCTGCACTTATCGATCCCGGCATGAATAGAGCAATGGCTGTAAGTCCACAATAAAAAACGTAATGAATGTAGCAAAAAACCGGCTCTCGTTTTATGGTCAATAAAAAGAGAGCCTTTCGGTTTATTGAAACCCTTGGACTGTGCCATTGAAAAATCTTTTCCTGCCATCTGACCCTCGTCAAAAGGAGACGACCTATCAGTGAAAACTGAAATGCAGACAACATAAAAACAACAGGGCAGCGAGAGAGAGAGAGAGGGAGAGAGAGAAAAAAGCAGACAGATATATAGAAATATATATGTATAGTGGCAAAGGACATAATGTTCTGCGCAATTATATGGCAACATCTATACAAACGTTGCGGCTACTGTGGCTGAGCTTAATGGGTAAGTAGAGGTGTGAAAAGACCAGAGTCGCTTCCCCTAAGCGGCTAAATGGCAGTCGCTAACATTCACACCTACACATAGATGAACAGAATTGCAACTGGCCAACGAGCTATGTGTGAGTGTGTGTGTGTGTCTGTTTGCATTCCCTTTTGCGGTTTATATTTGTGACCCAATTTATGGTCAGGCTAGAATGAACGCGTTGCACCCAAACATGGTGCTCATTTGTTCCCATAATGATGCCAGGCATCTGCCAACAACACGCACACACACTCACATGCACACACACAAATGGTGAGTCGTATTTAAATCCAGCTAATTATATTCAATTGCAGCGATTTTTTTTCACATTTTGTGATTATTTAATTCAGTTGTTTGCATGTGTGTTTTAAGTAAACATATAAATTAGATGAGGTAATTTTTAATTATAGAATGAATAACTCTATTGGTATTCAGCTGATTAGCTTGAAGATGTACGACGAGCAATATTTCTGGCCTGAATTATGTGATGGATATGGATATTCAGTGAGCTACGTAACTAATAGGCCAGCAAATTACTGTCACACAATTATAAGTGGTATGTGTTATTCCATTCACACTCTGATTGACCGGTAATCAATGCCATTTGTCACGCCCACTGGCAGTGATACAATCCTAATCGAATTCAACAAATTATTGGCGGAAATGTTTGCCCATTTCAATTGGTACGAATGCCCATGGTGTGTGCGCTTCTGTTTGCATTGTATTGGATAAACAACAGCCAATGGCCTGTTGGCATAGCAGGGCAAATATGGAACAATAAGTGCGATGTTATGCCATATCAACAATGCCTAATGCTATTAATATTTTATTAGTATTATTATTATTATTTCTCGGCTATGCAAAGACGCCGAACAATGGGGAAAACTGGACATTTCCTGCACCTACTACCGGGTAATGAAGAATATGGAATCAAGTTCAACACAGTATCACAGACAAATAAGAATGGCAACAATAGCGCGATTTGCTTGTGTGGGTGACTATACTCATCCCAGAGCAACTGAAAAAGTCGGACGTGTGGATTAATAATTCAATTGGATTGCACAATGCGTCGCATGCGTTTTGCACTCTAAATGCAAAGTGCCTGCCAGCGCGAGAGCTTAGATAAGCATAAGCAGAAGTCGGGAGTGCTCAGCTAGCAGATTGCATAACCAAATGCCAAAGCACTAATATAGTAAATGTGTGTGTAATAGAATATAAAATGTGGATACTATGTATCTTATATGGCTTCACCTTTTATAATTTCATAATTTTACTTCAAAATTTTAATTTTTCCTGCCTTTCATTAATTTCTCTTATATTATTTGCTTAATTTTCATAAGCGAATATACCCTTTTCTCTTCAAGTTCAATGGGCTAAAAATTCATATACATGTAAATTTAATATGAGCAATTTCTGTTCCTTCGAATGATTATGAACAATGTTGCTCCATTGCAATACCAATATCAATGGGAGTCTACTACAAATTGTTCATCAAAAATGTATGCAGACTGCAATTTATCGATTAGATGTGCTTTTTGAAAGTTATGCAAATGTTTGACTGACAATTAGGTTGACAACGTTGCAAAGCAAATTGACACAAATTTCGTTATAAACAATGTTGGCATAGTTTATAATGTTGTTTAGGGCACTTCCACTTTTTACTTATTGCCTACATACATATATAAACTAGTTAGTAGTCTATTTAGACGTAAACTGTTTAACGACAATATTGCTCATTGCTGGCTGTTTGGACTTGGGCAGGTGCCTAGGTGGGTCGGGATGCTCTAAGCACTGAACGTCAACTTGGTTCTAATCATTATTTACATTCGATTGAAAGTTAAGCGTGTAAACAGTTCAACACAGAGAAAACTTTATCGTTGTGTAGCCGGGAATCGGGTTACGAGTAAATACTATATAACGCTTGCTGAATTCGTATCTGTGTGCCAGCTTCTATATATTCTGAGCACTTTTCATATCCTTTACGTGGCACGTAAATTTTTCGTTTGCCAAATTAAGGATAAAGTTTGGCGCAACCGAGCATTGCTCCTGCCATCTGTGCACCCTTTTCAAAAGTGGATTATGCATCGATATACGCAGACATTCAACTATATATATATATATATATATATATATATATATGACATTGCCCATATCTGAGCCGGGCAAAGTTTCGCTTGTGCGTGCTCTGCTAATGAGTCCCGCATTCATATCCATTTAGCACCTGCTAACTGAGTAATGAAACAGCAAAGACACAAACTAAATATATATTTATATAAATACATAAGCATTTCCCAACTATATTTCATAATTATTGCAATAAACTATATTAGGAGTAACTATGGCAAATTAACTTTAACGTGTGTGGATAGCCATAATCTAGCTTAAGCGAATGCTTACTAGAAAATAAAATATTAAATTCATTTGTAAAGCACTTAGACGTGATATCAAATTTATTGTACAACAGTCAGCTTAAAAAAATACTTTATATCTTCATCAAGACTGATTGCACTTTCCAGTCTAACAAAAAAAAATGTCACTGGCATTGACAACAAGAACTTTATATCACAGACCGAGTTGATTTCCTATTCATACATGCCGCAAGAATTCAAGAAAAACGAACAGGTTTTCATGCCCAGCCTCTGAATGTCCCAACTCTTATCAGTTTTATTTTCGAGTTTGTCTTGGCAAGCTAAAGCACAAACTGAAACAATTTTAATATAAATTTTTTAATTTATGGATACATTTCTGATGGACTGTGATCAAATATCGGTTACTCATACAAAACGTGTCACAAGGTCGAGGTGACGCAACTTGTTTTGTGTTTTGGCACTTTTCTATTCTTCGGGCTTTTCTTGCGTTTGACAACTCGTACATCATACGAGGTTAAAGGCTAGTGCAGATATTTATTACATGTACGCTCCATAAACCGCATGCAATCAAGCTACAATGTCTAAGGATATGCGCGCGCGTAATAAAAGTGAGTTCATAAAAGCTGATGGCTGAGGGCTGATGGCCGATGGCGGAGGGTGGAGGGGGCTGCCTTAGTCATGTAGCCGATCAAACAGTAAATTACAGGAGCATCTGAGTCAAGCAGTAACAGCAGCGAATACCTGAATCTTTTGTGCGGCAAAGGATAATTTTACGAGCATGCCAAGGACATAAAGACCCTAAGGCAAGCCAATAAACCCATTCACAATCGATGTGCAATGCAACGGCATAAATGCCCATTAACTTACCGTGGTGCCGTCATAGCCATTTGTCAGCAGTTGAATGTCGATTTCCAGATCCAGGTCCACTTTGGCGGTTGTCAGTTGCAGCGGCAGGTGATCAGCAGCCAACAGCAGCCCACTGTGGTTGCGGCGGCTACCAGTGCCACTGTGATTGCTGCTGCTGCTATTGCTGCCAGATAGCAAAGTGTCCTGGTCGAGGGTTCGGTTGCTGCCGCTGCCATGATTTGATGCAGCCGCAGCCGCCACAGCGGCGGCCAGAGCCGCGATGGCCGTTGCGGCACTCACGGCATTTGTCATATTGCTTTCGAGGAAGGTAAGGGCAGCTAGGTAAATTGGATGAGGGGATTGGAAAGCAATAAGCTGGCTGCTTCTTTTACAGCCGCTGCGTGTGGTAATGTGTGCTCGAAGTGAAGTCTCAGAATGAACAATAATTTGCCAGGCGACTGTGGCATGGCATTTCGGCCTCGATTGTTCTGTCTAATTAATCCGTCCGTTGGCTGAGTGGCTTGACGTGTGCTTATCGGCTCTGTGCATATCCTGTAGAAAAGCATTGGCTGCAGCTGCTGCTGTGCGCGATTGTTCTATTCATTAGCCCTATGCTCACATGAATTTGCCATTTTGCAGTTGCTAGCCGACGGTACACACATGCAACACAATGTGTATACAGCATAAACACTATGTAAATCTACATGTCCTAGGCGTACGTTGAGCTGTGCCCAGTCATCGTCATGCCACATTTCCCAAACGGAAATTGCATATTTTCAACAGTTTTTTTGCCGTGTGCCTCCGACTGCAGAGTCATTTATTATTAGCCACGACTATAACATGGCCAAGACGTGACCATTCAGTGGCAACTGTGCTTCGCTTTGTATGTGTAACAGTTCAGTGGAACGTCAGTTAGGCCATTGCCTTTGCCACGCCTCGCTGTAGTCAAGCAAATTATCAAATTGTTGCCAATTGCTGCAGACCGTTTGAGCTTGAGTTTGAACTGGGCCAACAGGACCATGCAACGCTTTAGATGCCTTCAATTTGTTATCGCACTCGTATTTTGCACTCGGTAGTTTAGTGCTTGCACTTCGCGCGCTGTGCAAGGCAATTGACATTTACGGAAACAACTGATCAAGAGTCACTCACGCATACGCACTCATACACACGCACACAGGGACTGCTTTGAGTTGTGCGTCGGCTACTGTTTCGGCTGGTGGGAGCTGGTGCCGCGCCGAACTGCGCGATTTGAAGGCTGAACGTTGACTGCCCGTTAACAGGCACGCACGAGCGACACGTTGCTCTACGGCGGACACACAGGCGGACAGGCAGTAGGCAGGCCGTTAAACGGCGGGCGGAACGCAGGCGAATGCCGTGCGTTCATTTGCCAGTGCCGCTCGGTATGCAACAAATTTGAGGCGATTTCTAACGCGACTAGCGGCGAAGGCTCCGACGATTCAACAGGATGTGCCAAATGGCTTGTAGCATAGGCGAAATATGTGCGCAGCGCACAGCAGAGCGAGCTTTGCCGAGCGAAAGAGAAGCTAGAACACGAGAGAGCGGCAGATAGGGAGCGCGAGGCGAAGATAGCGGGAGGTGCGCAGAAAGCACGCGCTCTTATCGGCTAAGCACCTGTTGTACTTCACTTCACATTTGACGCGTTTTCCGCGCGTTTCATACGCGATTCCCATATATGCCTGCGTCCGCAATTTGGGCTCGTTGCCGCCTGTTCGGCTCAGTGCGACAGTGTGAAGTGCAAGTGTAATGAAACTAAATTGCGACCTCTGACAAATTGCACTTGCCCAGCAATTTTTCAATTTCATTTAACCTAGGCTGGCATTTATTGTGTCATACAATTTAAAAGTTATCTCTCTCTCTCTCTCTCTTTCTTCTACTTATCACAAGTTAACTTAAGCCTTAAAAGAAACGAGTCGACTCAAATCCAGATGTGCTGGCGCAGCCAACTAATATGCCTTGCCAGATCCGTATAAATGACGGGCTGCGTCAGGTCGCAGCGATTGGTGAACACCTGGCCAGCCGAGACGACACCGCGCAGCAGCCAGACATTGTTCTCCTGGAGCATGAGGCCGCCACCGGAATCGCCGCTGCAGGGTCCCGCTGCCTGCTTGTTGCTCGCACAGAGCGTATTCGGCGTGACCAGTCTGATGCCCTCGGTAGATCTCAGATTGCGCAGGCACTCGGCTTCAGTGATGATATCCGTATCTGTCATCTTCGCCACTCGCGTATTCGGGTTGCCATGCTCATCGGATCCCCAGCCAGCCACATAGGACTTGTAGCCAGACGGCAGCTGCAGCAAAAAGTTCTCATTCCACAAGCAAATGGGCTTGATGTATTCGCCAAAGCTGCAAACGAAAATCCAGATACAATTCGATTTTTCAGAAGCTGTCGCCGTAGATAAAGCCTACCTCACTGGAGACGAAAGCTTGAGCAGAGCTATGTCAGCATTCGAATAGTTTCTGGGCGAGTACTCCTCGTGTACCATCAGCACAGAGACCTCACCCAATAATCCGTCCGACACTAAATCCAATGTGTTGCGGCCCAGCGAGACACCTACTCGGCTAGGCGGTAAGTTTCGCTCAGCGTAAACGAAACAATGCGCCGCCGACAACACCGTTGAGGCCGAGATGAGCGTACCACCACAGAAAAAGCGAAGACCGTCAGGACCACGTTCATACAGGGCCGCCATCCAAGGAAGCTGGCCGCGACGGACCTGACTACCAAAATGGAGAAGCGGCGATGTGACAGGCCCTTCGCGTCCACAGATTGTTGAGAGCTGGCCAAGTCCCTGGCCACCACTACTAGGAGCTGGCTGTGGCCTTGGGCGTGGGCGAGGTGCAGGTTGGGTAGGTGCTTGACGCGGTGGTGCTGGCACAGGATTAGACACTTGTGGTATAGCCTTCTGAGGTTGGACAACATTTCCTTCCCAAATTGGTCGCTGCGGCCGTCGGTTTGTTTCCTGAAGTATCTGAGGATTTTGAGTGAAGAGCGGCACTGTCGTAGAGCGCAGCGAATGGGATAGAGTAAGCGTAACACTGCTAGGAGGATCTGCAAAGGAAACGGATTAAGCTCATGATCGTCTTCGATAAGCTTTCAGGCACTTACATGGCGAAGCTCTGCATAGGACAACATCGTTGAGCATAAGCAATGTCAGCTTAGGTAGCACACCGGGTGTGGGAAAATCAACGCGATATTGTATAGGACGTCCATAGCGGAGATTAGACTTGGTTACCTCTTCGCCATCCCACAGAGTTAGGCTGCCACCGTAATTCTAAATAAATAAGATTATTATTAGTAGATGTTCGAAAAAACCGGAAACATTGCTTCATTTCGCGATGCCGCTCTGAGCTCCTCTTTCATTCCCTGAAGTTTATATCGATAATGATGTTTTATAATTGAGCTCTGTCGCAAACACAATAAAATAATGTCAAGCTTGGTCTTTTCTAAATAAATCTATTCATGAATACATATATAAATAATTGATTTGGTAAAACCAACACCTCTGCGGCTTTATTATTGAAGCAGCAGGCAATAAGATTTATGACAGCAAAGTAAATTAAATGATACAAGCAGGTGGAAAGAAACCGGTCACACAACTTCTGAAAACTAAGTCTCACAGCAAGAGAGCTGCGTAGTATCATCTAGAAGCCTTTGTATTATTTAATATTTTTATTGGCCACTATCTAATATGAAAAGCAACGTGGAAACTGAACACTGATCACATTCATATACAGCAAGCAATAAAAATAATAACAACATAAACAATGCATTTGCGAGGTCGCTGCTGTGGGAAAAGCTCAGAAATCTAATCTTCAGTTGGGGTCAGTTGTGATAAGCGCATCGAACAAATCAATATTACTTAAGCAGGGGTTTTAAAGGGGTTTTCTTACCGAACTTAGAAATCCTGGTTGCGAGAACTCGAGTCGGAGCGTGTTTTCCTGGTACTGTGCATCATGCCGTATAGAAATACGACCCACGTACTCCTGATTGTATGCCAGATACTCAAAGTATTCCGGACAGGCGACAGGCGGCACTTGCTGTGCTGAACTGGGCCAAGGCAGAAGCAGCAGCTTTAAAAAGATGCCGAACACTAATAAGAAATGTTTCATTTTCTAAATGATCGAAGACGCGAAACCAATTGAACAAGCGCAGTCACGATTCAGACCTCTTTGAAAGAGCGCCAAGCGGTGACTATTTTTTTTTTTTTTTTTTTTTTTTTTTTTTTTTTTTTTTTTTTTCGTTTTTATTTCTTTATTTTGTTGCAGCTTATTGTCTTAGACTCTATAGCGCATTTAGCTCTAAACCTTAACTAATGGGAGGGCAGATATGCCAATTATTCTGCACTTGTAGCTACTATCTTAATTAGTTCTAATATTGTCTAGAGGATGCAATCTCTTCAGTCTTCGCCTATTGTTGTTTATAGCCAGGTTGCTTGCGAGATGGTTAGGATGCGCTGCAAGTCTGTCCGCGTATCTTGAACTGTGTCGCCCAATGAGTTCAGCAACTGTGGGAATTGCTAAATCCCTATGTAAGACTGAGTTTCTTACAAACCAGCTGGCTCCAGTCCATCTGCGTAGTGCTTTATTCTGCAGGGTCTGAATTTTGTTCCTTGTAGTCTTCGCCGAGGAGCCCCATAGAGAGATACCATATACGAAGGTTGGGACAACTATTGCCTTGTAGATGGCGGCCTTGCTGCTGTAAGACAACTTGCTTGAAGCTCTCAGCATCCAGTCGAGGGTTTTTAGCTTGCTTTTGCATTTTGAGGTTACTTGACTTATGTGCGCTTTAAAAGTCAGCCTTCTGTCAAGAGTGATACCAAGGTACTTTACTTTTGAGGCTTTGGGAATAGTGGGCCCCAATGCAACGCTTGGGCAATCTCCTCTTCTAGTGGCGAAGGTAGTATGTACAGACTTTTGTGCATTAATGGTGATACACCACCGTTTTGCCCAGCGTCCGAAAGAGTCCAGATATTTTTGTAGTGAGTCTGAAGCTTCTTGCGCAGATACGTGACGTGATAAGATGGCGGTGTCATCTGCATAGGTCGCTATGAGTACTGCATCTGTACTTCCTATATTTGGCTCGGGAGTTGGCATATCTCCTGTGAATAAAGTATAAAGTGTTGGGCCTAGAACACTACCCTGTGGTACTCCAGCCATAATTGGTCTAGTCAAGGATACTGTTTGCCCCCTTGACACTTGGAAGGTTCTTCCAATAAGGTATGAGGATAGCAACGCGAAAAATGGGGCTGGAAGGGTGGTCCTCACTTTCTGCAGCAGTCCCAGGTGCCAAACTCGATCAAACGCCTGTTTGATGTCTAAAAAGACGGCAGAGCAGTACATCTTTTCTTCAAAGGCTCCAAGGATATGGTGCACAACTCTGTGAACCTGTTCCGGTGTTCCATGCTGTCTCCTGAAGCCAAACTGATGGTTTGGAATGGCCTCCTGGCGTCCCAGATGTGTCAGTACTCGTTCCAGAAATATTCTTTCGAATATTTTGGAGAGTACTGGCAACAGGCTAATTGGTCTGTACGACTCAATTTCTCCCACGGGTTTGCCAGGCTTAGGAATCATCACAATCACGGCGCGCTTCCAGCAGGCTGGAAAGTGCCGGATGCGGAGCATGGCGTTGTACACCATAGTTATGTAGTCTATGGTGGAGTCAGGCAGTGCTCTAAGGACTCTGCCGTTTATTAGATCATATCCAGGGGATTTTTTTGCCTTCACTCTTCTGATGTGTTCAAGAACCTCTTCTTTTGTACATCCAGTTATCTGGTCTTCAGCTGGGAGGGGCGAGAGAACGATGTCTTCTGTTGCTTCGATTTCTGAGGCCTCTGCGGTAATCACCGGCGTGAATTGGTCTTGAAGGTGGTTTGCAAAAGCCTCAGCTTGAGCTTCGTCTCCAATGTGCCAGGAACCAGAAATGCTCCGAATGGGATGACGTCGTATTGGCTGCCGTTTGAGCTTTCTTGTAAATTTCCATAATTGAAACTCTGCGTCAGTGGGCGATTCAGCTCGTACCAGCGCATCGCTGATACACCTCTTTTGAAGCAGGGCGAGAGCAGCTTTAAGATGCCTCGTGGCTTCGTTGTACATGGATTTGGCATCAGGCGTGCGTAATCTTAACCAGCGTCTCCTGGCCCATCTTTTGTGTATTAGTAGGTGTTGGGCCTCCAAGGTGAGGGGGATGTTGTACGGAGACTGTTGTCTTGTTTGGCAAGATGGTGGGGCGGCTTGGTGCGCAGCTTTGACTATTTCTTCCTGCAGTTTGTTTGCTGCGTAGTCCACGTCTTCAGGAGTGTTAAGTTCCATTTCTATGTGCAAAGAGTAATGGAGCTCGCGCCTAAAGACTCCTAAATCTGATCCTGCTGGCAGTAGTTGTTTCCTAATGGGCAAGGGCTGTGGCTGCGCGTGGATTGTGACTATTAGTGGCAGGTGGTCAGAGGATAGGTCCAAGGATTCTTCAATGGTCAATTGCCGGTCACAGATGCCTTTGTAGACAGCGAAGTCGATTGCCGAGGGCCTGTGTCCATTAATTGGGTAACGGGTGGGGGCTCCAGTCGCCAATATGCTGAATTGTAAGTTTTGAATCGCCTCAAATATGACTTCTCCGCGACGATTCGCACTATTGCTTCCCCAAAATGGGTGCCATCCATTCCAGTCGCCGCCGATGAGGGTCTTATTCAACCTTTGGCCTAGAACCTGTTCCATGTGATGATCACACAGACCAGTGTTTGGCGGAAGATAAATTGACGCAACTTCGATCGCTCCAATAGACGTAGGCAGGGTGATGGCTGAGACCTGCATTGTTGCGTTGCAAATTGGCAGTAAAGGTGTATGCGGTATTGTTGCTCGTATGAGGATTGAGGATCCACCAAAGCAGTTTGCTCCTTCACCATGAGCCTGATAGTGTTCGTATCCGAAAATTTGTGTAGTGGGGCACTCATGAGTTTCTGTTATTAACATTATATCTATGTTTTCTTGTGAGAGAAACGCAGCCAGTTCCTGAGTCTTGTTTCTCAGGCCATTGGCGTTCCAGATACCCACACGTAAAGCCATTATTTGTAGGCAAGCTTGGTTATGATGGCCATTAAACTGTTTAGCATGGTTGCTTGTTGGGATTGTACTTCTCGCATCGCTTTGAGCTCGGCATTAATTGCGTCAAACTGACGTTGTTGTTGCTGAAGCATTTCAGTGAACAAAGTGTCACTTGTGGTATTCTTATTTGACGGTCCACCTCTAGCGGCCTGTGCGTAAGAAACACCACTAATAGGCGTTGCAAAGCTCGTGGCTTGGGTAATGCTCCGGGGCCTTGTAATTTCGGAAGCAGTACTCGGACCCGTAGACGGTGTTTGTGTGGGACTCCTTTTTTGTGCTGGGGATTGCAATTTGCGCAACCGCTTGTATACTTGGCAGCCCTTATAGTTGGCTGGGTGCTGTAACTCACAGTGCACACAAGTTGGTGCCTGGTCCTTTTCGCGGGTGCAGTCTTTGGATGCGTGTTTCCCGGCGCAACGCACACATCTGGGAGCTTTGTGGCAGTAGCGTTGTGTGTGTCCAAATTCTTGACAGCGATGGCATTGTGTCAGGTCGTTGTATCTTCTTGGCAGTTCCACTGTGCAGCGTTGCCTGCAGACAACTCGAATGTCCAAAATTTCTTTGTTGTTGGGGGCCTGAGCCACGTCAACAAAAAATATATTTAGCGGTGTTTTGTCCATACGGCTCAGTGGGTTGTGCACATTTGTAATTGTGTGGCCTTTGGTTTCCAATTCCTTTTTAATTAGTGTTGTATCAGTGCTGGAGTGAAGCCCTTTGAACACGACTCTATATGGTTTGTCCTCCTTAAGCTGGTAGCAGTGGAACTCCAATTCCAGCTTAGTAAAGTGGTCTATAACTCTGCGATAGTCCTCACTGCATTGGGTTAATACACCTATGTTATTCTTCTTTGGCTTAATTACGTATGATTTAGCATCAATTACTTTATCTATTATCTGTTGAAGTAGGGCCACAGACTTGATGTTTGGACACCATATGGGGGGCGGACGAGGTTTCGGTGTAGTTTGCTGGTCGGTCAATACTGGGGCTTCTGGAGCTACAGGTGATTCGCTGTAGTCTTCATCTTCTTCTACGAGCAGTGAAAATCGATTTTCTGATATTAATGCTGCATTGCTGGTGCTTGGTTCGTCGAAGATGAGCCTTTTCTTGATGGTTTTTGGTGAATTTGGCTGTTTACGTTTCGTGTTTTTGTTGTTAGTGATGCCTTGCACGGAGGCGATATCTATTTTTGAGTTTATTGGCATGATGGAGGCTTGCCTATTTGCCATCACAACGTTAAGCTGGGCTTGCATTTCTGCATTTACCTTTACAGCTGTAGCGAGGTTATTGACATTAGATGTCATCGCGGATTGTGCTTTTGAGTGCAGGCGCACTCGCGCCAAGCGACGAAATTTCGTAAATTGCAATTAAAGCAATTGAGTTACGCGGAAGCAAGCGATAAGAAAACGCTGCGTGTGCGGTTTTTGTTGCTGTTGCGTTGAAGAATGCACCGCAAAGTTCTATTTTTAGAACTCTGCAGCAGTAGAGCTTAAGCGAAGGCTGTTCGAATTCACGTCTTTACAGGTCGAACGACTGATCGCGATTGCGGTGACTATTGCATGTGGAGTTCTGTTCCGACAATCAGTGGTCAGCAGATCGATGAGCATCGGTGATCGGGGTGAAACCCGTTTCATTTCGCTCTGTCTCTCCCACCAACAACAAAGCTATAGCTAGACGATCTTTCGGTCGCTCAGTTGCTCGGTCTCTCGTGCTGCTGTCAGACTGATTTCATTGTATTAATTTCTCTTTTTTTTTTTTTCAATCGCGATCAGTTGTTCGACCTGTAAAGACGTGAATTCGAACAGCCTTCGCTTAAGCTCTACTGCTGCAGAGTTCTAAAAATAGAACTTTGCGGTGCATTCTTCAACGCAACAGCAACAAAAAACCGCACACGCAGCGTTTTCTTATCGCTTGCTTCCGCGTAACTCAATTGCTTTAATTGCAATTTACGAAATTTCGTCGCTTGGCGCGAGTGCGCCTGCACTCAAAAGCACAATCCGCGATGACATCTAATGTCAATAACCTCGCTACAGCTGTAAAGGTAAATGCAGAAATGCAAGCCCAGCTTAACGTTGTGATGGCAAATAGGCAAGCCTCCATCATGCCAATAAACTCAAAAATAGATATCGCCTCCGTGCAAGGCATCACTAACAACAAAAACACGAAACGTAAACAGCCAAATTCACCAAAAACCATCAAGAAAAGGCTCATCTTCGACGAACCAAGCACCAGCAATGCAGCATTAATATCAGAAAATCGATTTTCACTGCTCGTAGAAGAAGATGAAGACTACAGCGAATCACCTGTAGCTCCAGAAGCCCCAGTATTGACCGACCAGCAAACTACACCGAAACCTCGTCCGCCCCCCATATGGTGTCCAAACATCAAGTCTGTGGCCCTACTTCAACAGATAATAGATAAAGTAATTGATGCTAAATCATACGTAATTAAGCCAAAGAAGAATAACATAGGTGTATTAACCCAATGCAGTGAGGACTATCGCAGAGTTATAGACCACTTTACTAAGCTGGAATTGGAGTTCCACTGCTACCAGCTTAAGGAGGACAAACCATATAGAGTCGTGTTCAAAGGGCTTCACTCCAGCACTGATACAACACTAATTAAAAAGGAATTGGAAACCAAAGGCCACACAATTACAAATGTGCACAACCCACTGAGCCGTATGGACAAAACACCGCTAAATATATTTTTTGTTGACGTGGCTCAGGCCCCCAACAACAAAGAAATTTTGGACATTCGAGTTGTCTGCAGGCAACGCTGCACAGTGGAACTGCCAAGAAGATACAACGACCTGACACAATGCCATCGCTGTCAAGAATTTGGACACACACAACGCTACTGCCACAAAGCTCCCAGATGTGTGCGTTGCGCCGGGAAACACGCATCCAAAGACTGCACCCGCGAAAAGGACCAGGCACCAACTTGTGTGCACTGTGAGTTACAGCACCCAGCCAACTATAAGGGCTGCCAAGTATACAAGCGGTTGCGCAAATTGCAATCCCCAGCACAAAAAAGGAGTCCCACACAAACACCGTCTACGGGTCCGAGTACTGCTTCCGAAATTACAAGGCCCCGGAGCATTACCCAAGCCACGAGCTTTGCAACGCCTATTAGTGGTGTTTCTTACGCACAGGCCGCTAGAGGTGGACCGTCAAATAAGAATACCACAAGTGACACTTTGTTCACTGAAATGCTTCAGCAACAACAACGTCAGTTTGACGCAATTAATGCCGAGCTCAAAGCGATGCGAGAAGTACAATCCCAACAAGCAACCATGCTAAACAGTTTAATGGCCATCATAACCAAGCTTGCCTACAAATAATGGCTTTACGTGTGGGTATCTGGAACGCCAATGGCCTGAGAAACAAGACTCAGGAACTGGCTGCGTTTCTCTCACAAGAAAACATAGATATAATGTTAATAACAGAAACTCATGAGTGCCCCACTACACAAATTTTCGGATACGAACACTATCAGGCTCATGGTGAAGGAGCAAACTGCTTTGGTGGATCCTCAATCCTCATACGAGCAACAATACCGCATACACCTTTACTGCCAATTTGCAACGCAACAATGCAGGTCTCAGCCATCACCCTGCCTACGTCTATTGGAGCGATCGAAGTTGCGTCAATTTATCTTCCGCCAAACACTGGTCTGTGTGATCATCACATGGAACAGGTTCTAGGCCAAAGGTTGAATAAGACCCTCATCGGCGGCGACTGGAATGGATGGCACCCATTTTGGGGAAGCAATAGTGCGAATCGTCGCGGAGAAGTCATATTTGAGGCGATTCAAAACTTACAATTCAGCATATTGGCGACTGGAGCCCCCACCCGTTACCCAATTAATGGACACAGGCCCTCGGCAATCGACTTCGCTGTCTACAAAGGCATCTGTGACCGGCAATTGACCATTGAAGAATCCTTGGACCTATCCTCTGACCACCTGCCACTAATAGTCACAATCCACGCGCAGCCACAGCCCTTGCCCATTAGGAAACAACTACTGCCAGCAGGATCAGATTTAGGAGTCTTTAGGCGCGAGCTCCATTACTCTTTGCACATAGAAATGGAACTTAACACTCCTGAAGACGTGGACTACGCAGCAAACAAACTGCAGGAAGAAATAGTCAAAGCTGCGCACCAAGCCGCCCCACCATCTTGCCAAACAAGACAACAGTCTCCGTACAACATCCCCCTCACCTTGGAGGCCCAACACCTACTAATACACAAAAGATGGGCCAGGAGACGCTGGTTAAGATTACGCACGCCTGATGCCAAATCCATGTACAACGAAGCCACGAGGCATCTTAAAGCTGCTCTCGCCCTGCTTCAAAAGAGGTGTATCAGCGATGCGCTGGTACGAGCTGAATCGCCCACTGACGCAGAGTTTCAATTATGGAAATTTACAAGAAAGCTCAAACGGCAGCCAATACGTCGTCATCCCATTCGGAGCATTTCTGGTTCCTGGCACATTGGAGACGAAGCTCAAGCTGAGGCTTTTGCAAACCACCTTCAAGACCAATTCACGCCGGTGATTACCGCAGAGGCCTCAGAAATCGAAGCAACAGAAGACATCGTTCTCTCGCCCCTCCCAGCTGAAGACCAGATAACTGGATGTACAAAAGAAGAGGTTCTTGAACACATCAGAAGAGTGAAGGCAAAAAAATCCCCTGGATATGATCTAATAAACGGCAGAGTCCTTAGAGCACTGCCTGACTCCACCATAGACTACATAACTATGGTGTACAACGCCATGCTCCGCATCCGGCACTTTCCAGCCTGCTGGAAGCGCGCCGTGATTGTGATGATTCCTAAGCCTGGCAAACCCGTGGGAGAAATTGAGTCGTACAGACCAATTAGCCTGTTGCCAGTACTCTCCAAAATATTCGAAAGAATATTTCTGGAACGAGTACTGACACATCTGGGACGCCAGGAGGCCATTCCAAACCATCAGTTTGGCTTCAGGAGACAGCATGGAACACCGGAACAGGTTCACAGAGTTGTGCACCATATCCTTGGAGCCTTTGAAGAAAAGATGTACTGCTCTGCCGTCTTTTTAGACATCAAACAGGCGTTTGATCGAGTTTGGCACCTGGGACTGCTGCAGAAAGTGAGGACCACCCTTCCAGCCCCATTTTTCGCGTTGCTATCCTCATACCTTATTGGAAGAACCTTCCAAGTGTCAAGGGGGCAAGCAGTATCCTTGACTAGACCAATTATGGCTGGAGTACCACAGGGCAGTGTTCTAGGCCCAACACTTTATACTTTATTCACAGGAGATATGCCAACTCCCGAGCCAAATATAGGAAGTACAGATGCAGTACTCATAGCGACCTATGCAGATGACACCGCCATCTTATCACGTCACGTATCTGCGCAAGAAGCTTCAGACTCACTACAAAAATATCTGGACTCTTTCGGACGCTGGGCAAAACGGTGGTGTATCACCATTAATGCACAAAAGTCTGTACATACTACCTTCGCCACTAGAAGAGGAGATTGCCCAAGCGTTGCATTGGGGCCCACTATTCCCAAAGCCTCAAAAGTAAAGTACCTTGGTATCACTCTTGACAGAAGGCTGACTTTTAAAGCGCACATAAGTCAAGTAACCTCAAAATGCAAAAGCAAGCTAAAAACCCTCGACTGGATGCTGAGAGCTTCAAGCAAGTTGTCTTACAGCAGCAAGGCCGCCATCTACAAGGCAATAGTTGTCCCAACCTTCGTATATGGTATCTCTCTATGGGGCTCCTCGGCGAAGACTACAAGGAACAAAATTCAGACCCTGCAGAATAAAGCACTACGCAGATGGACTGGAGCCAGCTGGTTTGTAAGAAACTCAGTCTTACATAGGGATTTAGCAATTCCCACAGTTGCTGAACTCATTGGGCGACACAGTTCAAGATACGCGGACAGACTTGCAGCGCATCCTAACCATCTCGCAAGCAACCTGGCTATAAACAACAATAGGCGAAGACTGAAGAGATTGCATCCTCTAGACAATATTAGAACTAATTAAGATAGTAGCTACAAGTGCAGAATAATTGGCATATCTGCCCTCCCATTAGTTAAGGTTTAGAGCTAAATGCGCTATAGAGTCTAAGACAATAAGCTGCAACAAAATAAAGAAATAAAAAAAAAAAAAAAAAAAAAAAAAAAAAAAAAAAAAATTTCTCTTTTTGTTTTTTTTTTGTTTACTCTCTTATTCATTAAAGATTAACAATGTTTTGGATCGTAAATAAGCTAGAGCTTCGACTCAGCATGTTTTTAAAAGCGTGCTTGACAAATAATTTGCATATGTATTTATCGCCGATGACGTTCATAACTATAAGCTATACTTCTGACCGCGAATCATCCCGTTTGGGTATCGAACAAATATGCATATAAAAATTTGGTTTATTTATAAATTATTTACAGGCAGAATTTGACTTAGAACTGAGTACATAGGTTGAGCGAAATGCACCTCTGGCACTATTTGGAGTTTGGCTATTCCCACATGTTCTGACGCAGCCAGGTAATGTGCTTGGCCACATCTGCGTAGAGGGAAGGCCGGGTGAGATCACAGGTATTGTTCTTTTGCAGGCCGAGTGAGATGACTCCACGCAGAAGCCAAATATTGTTTTCTCTCAGCATCAGTCCGCCGCCACCATCGCTGGCGCAAGGACCAGCCCCCACGCGTTTCGCACAGATCGTGTTCGGCTGCACCAGAGAACGCACACTCTCGCGCAGGCAGTCAGACTCGGTCACAATGCTTGTGTCCGTGATTTTCGAGTACTTCGTGTTGACGTTCCCGTTCTCATCGGCTCCCCAACCAGCCACGTACGTTTTGTAGCCTGACGGCAGCTGCAGCGCATAGTTCTCGTTCCACAAACAAATGGGAACAATATAATCGTTGAAGCTAACAGAGAAGCCAAGAAGAATTAGGTAATCTAACAGACGTGCATCGGGTATTATCTACTTACATGATTTTCTTGGCTAGTCTGATGAGCACCATGTCTGCATTCGCGCTGAAGTGTTCGTATGCTTCATGGAAGAGCAGCTGCGTTACCTCGCGCAGTTCGCCCTGCGAAATGATATCGATGGTGTTGCGACCCAGAGAGACAACAGTGCGGTTGGCCGGCAGATCGCGGCCAGGCAAACGGAAGCAATGTGCCGCCGACAGCACTGTCGTTGACGAAATTAGCGAGCCGCCACAGAAGAAGATCAGACCATTGTCTGTCGCACGCTCGAAGAGACCAACCAACCAGGGCAGCTGGCCCCGCTGCAGCTGCTCTCCCTGGAAAATGAGAGGCGTTGTAACGGCTCTTTCGCGGCCACAGACTGTAGTCAGCGTTTGATCTATCGGCTCAGGCTTTGGACTCTCTCTGGTGTTCACATTAGTTTGCTGCTGAATGACGGGACGTGGCCTGGGAGTTGTTCTCGGCACCGGCACTTGAATCTCCGGAATCATGTAATCCGGTTGCTTCACGGCCGAAACGGATGGTCTGAAGTCCCACTGTGGAGCGTTCTGAATACGTCTCGAGTCCAAAAAGGTAAGCGGCACCGTTGTGGACAGCAGAGAATGCCTCAATGAGATCTCAGTTTTTGGTGGTAGATCTGAAGATAGACTCGAAAGTTTGAGCCAGGAACTAAGCGCTGCTGAAATTACTCACATTGTGGTGCACTGCAGAGCACCTCATTATTGAGAGTGATTTTTGTCAATTTTGGCGGCTCGCTGGGTATGGGGAAGTCGACGCGATAGTTAATGGGCTCGCCATTAGCTATATGAGACTTAGTGACTTCTTGGTTGTCCATTAGTGAAAGGCTTCCAACATAGCTCTAATGGGATGGAAATGCAAAAAAACAAATAAATTATTGATAATCGATATCAACATCTTTATGAGCTACATGTGATCAATATACAATTTCTTTTTTTATGGCGATTCATACATTATATAGAGCCGGGGATCCACGATTGGGTTGGTAAAAACCAAAACAAAATCTTTGTATAAGCTGGTCAAAGTTGTTTGTGTAAGCAACCAATACATGCATAACTAATATCACCTCGGCAAACCACACAGAGCGTAGCAGAAGCAAGCACACAAGGGAACTACATCAAATTGCGAAGCTTGCTCTTTGCAGCTATTAATAACTGTTCTCTAAGGTTTTTGCTCTCATATTGACATAGTCAATTAGACATCCCATTGATTGACTACTCATTGCACGCAAGCTAAGAGCAATTATTCACCTTTGTTTTTGCACTCTCTGACTGCTGCCAATTTCAAAATAAATGATTCTGGAAAACTTGTTTTTGAATGGGGGTTTACCACGCCTATTAACTAACACAATTGTACGTTATCAATTGCCATATTCGCATATGTTGCCATCAGTATTCACAGCACATAAAGACATTTGTTGAGGTCAATGTGTGATAAGGCCAGAAAAATTAGCACGAGCAAAAAAAAAACAGCTACAAATGAGATTTTAGTGATGCGCGGCTGATCTGCAGCAACCCGTTTACCTACCCATTGATAAGCTCCGTACTGTGAGAATTCCACAACGAGCTCGTTGCTCTCATATTGAGGGTCATGTCGTACAGCAATGTGCCCTATAAACTGCTGATTGTAGGATAGATACTCAAAGAACTGCGGACAAGCGATATTCGGCAGGCGCTGAGCCGACATAAGTCCAAGCAATGACAGCAAGATGCCGTATAAGAGCAACGCACTCTCCATATAAATTGCTACTATTATTGATTTAGCAAAAGGAAAATAAACGAACAACTAATCGTAAACTACACACGCGATGGACACTAAAGCGAATGTCTAAATGGAGCACAGCCGCACCTCGCGCTTTGAACATCGGCAAACGAATGATTTGTGTTTACTTCTGAGCATTAAATACGAATCTCAATCACGTTCGCTGTCCAGCTACACCTCAGCGAGAATCGATTTCTTTCACTCAGACATCTCGGGCGAAACCGGATAGCCAGCATCACTTGCGAGCATCGACTGGTAAAACTCTACTCTTTCAGCTGGAGTCTCCCAGCTGGCAAATGATATTTCCCTCTATGAGTTTATAGCTCTTAAATTTGATAATCCGCTTACTATTACTTAGCTTATAAAGAGTTTTTGGCTATAATATTGTCAACTTTTTTATTTTATTGCATTTAAATTAATGAATTTGAAGCAGATTTATTTTTCATATTTAGTTTCAGATTTTTGTGTTATTTCTTTGGTTGAAGAACTCTATTCTATTAAAAATATTAATATATATATCATTAAATTATATTCTGACAATAATCGTTTATACATTTTCGATTTTATGAATTTTCTATTGAGCATTAGAATATTTTTTATTTAAATTGCCCTTGACCTTATTAGAAATAAAAAGGAATGAAATGTAAACAATTAAACAATTGAAGAAACTAATTTCACAGACTAAGGAAAGCACATTTTCCTATACCTTCTCCACTAAGAGCTGAGTTAATCCATCAATATAACAGTATAAGAATCCATAGTAAACTGATGTAAGCTAGCATTATAGATACAAATCTTTTTATTTTTTATTTCATTTTTTATTATTTTTAATAATTTTGGCTGTCAAATTAACAAATAAAGAGCATTGAAAAGTCGTTGTATAATTTTTTTAACAAATTCATTCTTTACAAAAATTATTGACAAAATAAATAATTAATATGCATATTTAATATTATTTAATTGCATATTTATGCTGATATTGAACTGTAGCAGCTGTAGCATAAATTTACATATTGTGTTGATTTCTTGAAAACAGTTTGATAGGGACTAGCTTATGTATTGCCTAATCCAAGTCATATGCTTGGCAAGATCGCAGTAGAGGACATATTGGTTGTTATTGCAGTGGTCCACTGTACTTCGCTCGCCTAGGGAGACAACTCCACGGAGCAGCCAGCGATTGTTGCGTTTAATCATCAAACCGCCACCGGAATCGCCGAGGCATGGCCCAGAGCCATCCAGATTGCCAGCGCAGAGCGTGCGATCAAGAATCTTCTGCACCTTCCAACGGCGGGCGCATTCCCCCACAGTGGCAATCTTCGCGTCGACGACACGCGGATAACGTGTCATTGAGTTGCCGTTCTCATCCGTGCCCCAGCCTGCAATGGAGCCAATTTCGGCCTCAGTTTCCGTCTCAGCCGTCTCCCACAGGCAAATTGGACTGATGATGTCATTGAAGCTGTAAGTCAAGCAAAAGATCAATAGCCAGACAATGGATTATGAATTATAACAAAAAGTCGGTTTAACCCACATGACTGGACTATCTAATGTGATCAGCGCAATATCCGCATCGGGCTGTAGCTGCAGGCGCGAGGAATATTCTGGATGCATAACAATGCGCCTAGCGTCTCTCATCTCTGCACCATCCTCGCTATAATTGTCCAGGTCATAGCGACCCAGGGCCACCAACACGCGATCCTCTCTTATTTTGTACACACAGTGGGCAGCCGTAATGACTAAGCTGGTCGAGACGAGCGAGCCGCCGCACTTGAAGGCAAGTGAAAAGGACTCTTTGTGATACACAGCTGTAAGCCAGGGATATCTACCACGAGGAAACTCCATGCCTCGCTGAATATAAGGTACGCCCGTGCCTTCTTGGCCACACACAAATGAAGGCCAGGGTACACTTGATGGAGGACTTGCACGAATCCCATTTGGAATGAAAGGCGAGGCAGGCGTTGCTGGCTTCCAAGGTGCGGGTGCAATGCTGGAAATTGTTGGTACTGAGGAAGTGGGCCACCTCTGACGAGGCACAGCCGATGAGCTTATGCTAGTTATTGCCGGTGACTTGGGCGCCCAATCAGCAGCTGAGGTGGCGGTCTGTTCATTGACGAAATCGGATAGAATATGGGAAATCGACCTTTCCGAGCCATCGAAGACCACTGTCTTAATCTGCACATCAGTCTGTCCCTCTGGGAACTTATGAATGACAGGTGTGGGCGCCACACGATGAGGTGATTGTGGTCCGTTTATGTGCAGCTCGAAGAAACGATTGAAGAAACTCTGGGGATTATCTACAAATGCAATCTAAACTAGAACTCAATAAAGATTACTCACATTCGCTGGCTCGACACAGTTCGTTGTTATTGTATACCAATCTCGTGAGCTTGGGCAGCACAGCCGACGCATCCGCCCAGAGGCTAACTCGAAACTTAGCGGCCCGCAAACTAGCTCGCACTGTGACCTCATCGGGATACGGCAGCAGGGCGCCCACAACAGATTGCTGTCGAATCGTTTTGGAATTTTGTGGCGCAATCAGTTCACTATTTGAATCGCAACAATCTAATCAGCTTATAGAGTAACTACATACATCGTGCGCGCCGAGCTGCGAGAATCGCACATCAATTCGATTGCGGCCATTTTGCAGGCCGAGTGTCAGCTCGCCTTGAAAACTGCCAATGCCACTCTGGACATACTGGAAATACTGAGCACACGAGTTTTCCGGGAAGCGCTGAGCAACGGAAGCCATTAACACCATGGCCAGTAGCAGCAGCAGCAGTAGCTGCGTGTCCATTGGAATGTTAAAAAAAAACTGTAAAAATACAAATTCTAGTTAAAGTCTCGTCCAATTATTTAATGCACACGCGACAAGCGCCAGTGGGCGAATATAACTGCATTCGATATTAGCAGCTCAATTGGCTGTGAGTGTTGAGCCAGTATGCTAAGCAACTGGAAATACTGCATCGTGCTGAAGCTGATAAAGCCGAGATCTCCGATACGGAAGAGTACATAGAGAGAGAAAGAGAGAGAGAGAGACTACAGAGGGCTGAGTGAAAACTGAAAGCAGAAAATGCGAACCCCTCCGGAGCGTAAACTATACATAAGCGTGGCTCTTACGAGATAAGCAGGCAGCTTTTTGTTTATTTAGTTAACTTATTTGTTAGCGCTCATCTCACAATATTACGTTCTATCCAGCCGAGATGTCGGGCAACGTCACAGTAGATGACGTATCGCGACAAATCGCAGCCGTTGCCAGAGCGTTGGGCTAGCGAGACAATGCCGCGTACGAACCAACGGTTGTTGCGCAGCACCATTAATCCACCTCCGGAGTCGCCGAGGCAGGGGCCATGACCCTGGCTGTTGCCTGCGCAGAATGTGCGAGGCGTCAAAAAGTCCTTGGCGGTAACCATCTCACGTAGGCATTGCTCCTGGGACACTTTCCTCACGTTGACTGTTGAGGGAAAACGCGTTGGCTTGAAATTCGCATCGATTCCCCAACCGGCGACGGCAGTCTGTTCGCTGTCATCGATGCCAAGCGCTGTTTTGCTGGTCCACATGCAAATGGGACGGACATAGGTTGAGTATTGGACCCGCTCGGTAAACACCAGCAGGCCCACATCCAGATCAGGCACCAGATTGCCCACAAAGTCGGGATGCGTGTGCACGGACTGCACGGCCATCAGAGTGGCGTCCTTTTCGGGATGCATGCTTATGTCATGGCGTCCCACATAAACCCTTAGTTGTGCCGGCGTCATGCCGTAGATGCAATGCGCCGCTGTTATCACGGTGCGTGCCGAGATCAGCGTCGTCACGCACTTGTAGGACAACTCAATTTTATTGGGATCCACGTTGATGTCGTGATAGAGCGCCGCCAGCCAGGGGAAACGGCCCCTGGGCAAGGTTTCGCCTCCAATCTGTAAGCCAACGAGACCCTCCACGCCGCACTCATACTCCACTGGCTCATGACGCGTGTCCACCGTAACAATAGGCTTTATACTTGTCAGCGGCTTCAAAAATGGATTATCATTCGATACCCATGATGTTCCCGGACTAGCTGCGACCGGTCTAGTGACAGTCGTGGTAGGCCGTGGAGTCTGTTTGGCTGTTGTCGGCGCTGGGACCGATGCATATGTCACTAGCTGATTGTAGAAAGATTCTGGATCAATCGAATCAAACAGGGGAATTGTTCTGGTGGGCAGTGGCGGCGACTCGTACATTTTATATGTGGTCGTTGACGAAACAGCCATGTTCAGCTCTCGCGTCGATGTGGTGGAAGACCCTTCATCTGCGAAACAAGAGTATATTAATATTAAAAGTGAGAATTTCAACTAGAGGATTCTAGCACATTTGCATTTGATGTGTAGGGTGAATAAAGAGCTTTGTGCAAGCCACAATTCAAATTTCGTTGCATATTGTTAATTACACATATCAAATAGCATACCATTTGTCCAATAATTGCGTTTAATGATACTGCTTAGCCACGTAATTGCAACCCTAATCAATTTTAGTCGATTACTCACATTCGCTGGCTGTGCATAACACTTGGCCGTTCAACTCGATGCGCACTATCTTGGGCAGCTCGTCGTCGAAGTCAGTAAAGCGGACAAAGCATTCGGCACGGCCACCGTCGTGCATATTTTGCAGAGCAGTCTTCCTATTCGGATATGGTGCCATGGAACTTATCTTGCCGGGCTGTAGGCGCAATCAAAGACTGTTAGAAATGACCTTTGCCAATGATACTCGGTATGTCTACCTACATACGTACCCTGTTAACGCCATGCGAGACAAACCGCAGCGTCCAGCTGACGCTCTTGAGGCCATCTTGCGGCGGGGTGACATGACCAATCCAATGATCCCCCTGGCGCCGATACTGAAAAATGTTTCCACAGCCATTGGGTGGCAAGCGTTGGGTCAAAGCAATGCGTAGACAAAGTGCTAGCACAGCGAACCTCAGCGTTTGGCTCACGATTCCCATTGAATGGCGTTTCAGAACTGTAGCTGATAGCAGTTGAGCAAGAACTGAGCATCTCAATTCCCCATGAAGTTGAAATTATCACAAAATTCCCGCTCAGCGCTCGCCAGCATTGCGCTCTCTGCGTAGTGTGAAATACCCGAACGTAAGAGCGACTGACGAAGCGCACAGCAGGACAGGTTTTCGGGCTTTGCCCGGTAAGCCCCTCGGCAGTCTGAGCTGAAGTTGATGGATCATGGGTCATGCCAGAAGTATACATAGTATTTTCAAGACTAAAACACATGTTATGTATAATGTCTGATTAGACTGATGCTTGAATGAAGGCACTTTGTTTACGTTTACATTACAAAATAAAAACTCTCTTCTCTCTGTCTCTATCTTGACTGCAATTTCAACCGGTTTAAATTATTCTAACCCTCAGCTGTGCTGTGCTCTCTGATTCGCTCTCGACTGCATTTGAGCGAAACGAGTTTGACGGCAGAGGCAAAGGCAGATGCTACCTGCATATTACCTACTTTTATATAAATAGAGTCAAACTGACAGGAATCCCCTTATCGAGGCATTTCCACCTTAAAGAACATTTCTCTGGTTTTTACTAAAAACCTGGCACTGATAAAACTTTGCACTGGTGCCACAATTTTCACTTATTATACGAAAAGTTATAGATTATATCAGACAAGTTTGTATGTAAGTACAATATTGAAAATTGTGGTACACGCAACTGTCAGTATGTACTTGCTAAAGTAGCAAAACTTTTAACAACAATAAACGCACCCAATTCCAATGGTTAGCTGGAGGAGCGAAATTCCTACACCTTTGGGGATGGATGACATTGTTGTGGCTCTGGCTTGCAGAGGGCTTCTTTTTTTCACACCAACTTTTATAATCAGCTCAAGTTTGTTAAGCTTCTGTGGTAATTTGTTGGGATTTCTCGTAAATTTCATTCGTTTTGCCAAATATAATAAATTGAAAATGAAATATGCCTCGTCTTGGCTGGCAACTTGCTGCCAACTTTCGGGGCTAATGGCCGACAAAGTTGACGCCGCTGGCATTCGTGACAGCCGCTAGCATGCCCCGAATGCTTCCACAAGCACATTGAGACATCTATATCCGACCAATTTGACTGCTCCTCAAGGCGAACTGCTTCCGCAGCGAACAGCCAAACAGTCAATGCCAGTTGCCCATTACCAGCTGCAGGAAGTGCATGCGCACTGTAAATTGTGTGCACTCGAAAGACTTTGATTGCCTTTGCGGGGTTATGGCATACGTTAATTGGAGCATTAGGCAGCCACTACAAAACTACTTCGACATAAATACCTAGCAATGGGTCGCTACGGGCTTGAACACTAAGATCGATTGACGTTGTATGCGAATGTTCTGTATTTTCTACTGAATAATTGCCAAGTGAAATGGCTTATATTAGAAAACAACTTACACTTCTGCACTGTATAAAGACGTTTTCCCAAAAATTCACAAATTAATTTATGACATTTGATTAATCCCATTATTTATTTATCAATTTTTACAATTCCTTTCAACATCAATTTTATTACTCAAGTTAAAAGTCTTTAATTTCAATTTTTTAATACATATGAACACTTATTGAAAAGTTCAAATATCTGTTTGAAATATACGAATATGAATTGTGTAGTAAAATCACAGTTCCAGTAAATTTATACCAAAAAACCAAAGGAGTTCTTGTCGTCTGCTTAGGTATAGTAATTTAGGTCCTTACAGTTCTGTGTATCTTCTTTGCCTTCTGATTAAAATATTTTTTTTACAGTTTTTGATTTATAATTAATTAATATATTATTTATATTAATAAAAAATTTGCCTGCTCAAACATGAAAATATATATATTAAGCCTTGAAGACTTCTGTAGTAGACTTACCTTATCAGACATAGGTTAATTTTTATTTTGGACACCACTCGTGAAATGAATTAATATTTGAAATAAGTAAATTTTTCAATTAGATTTCCAGTAATCAACTGCGGCGTAAAACTTTGAAGGTGTCGCAAGTGCAAATGCCGCGATAACGCGAGAAAATAAAAACAAATGCATCGGCGCAGTTTTTCAAGAGCTCCAATTTCCTGGCCTCTTTGAGTCCCGAGCGGAGCGAGCAGTTCAGCTCCTCGTGCCAAGTATTGTGGATGTTTTCCTCTATTAGCATAGTGTGGAAAACATTGAGCAGCTGCAGATGTCGCTGGACACGTGGACAGCGCACAAGGCACAACATCTGGACATATGGCCGGAACTTAGTCCAGCGCAGAAAGTCGTCGGCGCAGACTTCAGTGCTGGCATCAATTATCATTAGCTTGCAGTCATAATGATAGACACCTTCCAGGATATCACGCTCCATTGGACACGGAAAATCTAAGCATACCTCATCTGTGAGAACAAAGCTGTTCTCATGGAGCGGAGTTTGCATGGTCCATGGATATACACGATTGGCAAAGGAGTAGGCCAAGCGTTGGCGGCGCTCTTGCTCCTCGCATAGATGCTTAACTTCGTTGTCAATACGCCTGATAGCACGCGAGCCACATGGTTGATAGTCGCTAAGTGCCTTATCGTTGAGTTCTTCAACGGCCTTGTTAGTTGCAGCTTCGGCCAACTGCTCGGACTTTTCTTCATCCTCGGCAGCCTGGCAGCATCGCATATCATGCGGCTTCTCGTACTGTGGATAGCCTACCTTGGCCAGAAAGGTGTGCCAATGCAAATAATCAAATTCAATGCGAGGTATAAAAAATCTAATCGATTCGCTTTCCACCCGACACTGATTGTCATCCAATATCAGTGGCCAAAGCGTCTCGAAAAACGAAGTATCTAACGATTTATTGTCGTCCCGGCCATTGCTGTCTGAGTCTGAGTCCATGTTGCCGCCTTTTCCAAAAATAAAAAACTTGGAATTTGTATGATTGTTATTTAGTACTTTGAAGAATGTAGTCGTAAGTAGTGCCTATCTGACAGGCAATGCCAGAGTGCCTTACTCTAGTATACTATTTGATAGTCCGTACAATACGCACACTTGTTGTGCTCCCGTTCAACGAGGCGTATGAGCAACAATTTCCTTTTATTATCAGCTCATAAATCAGCTGCTGACTCGCATTCTCTGGACATTTGTTTATATTTGTCTCAAATTTATGTACGCCCATAGCAATAACAGCATCAACAACAACAACAACAACAACAGCAGCAACAACAACGATTTGCGTACATTTTATGCCATTTCTGTCGGAGGTAGCCGCCGATCGTCGTCATTTTATGGGCTCGCCTGTGCCTGGGCTGTCCTGATTTTATGAAGCAATGTATGCGCGGCAATATGCCCACGATTTTCATTATGTGATGAAAGCAGCGATGGGCGTGGCTGCTCTAATAACACCCACGAATTTGTGTTTGTTTTTTTTTTCTGTTCGGCTCATTAGCTTTAATGCCTTGGATTTTATTGCCACGCACGCACAGCGACATTTGGAGCATGCCATTTGATGCGACGTATCAAGCATGCAATGCACATTACAAAAAAAAACAAACAAAATACAACAGATAGCAGACGGATGACAGACATGGGCTTGCCGAATTCGCCCTTGACAATGGACATCAATAAAATAGCAGTTAAAAAGAATACATTCATCATTTTGATTTCAAGCAAATGCAAACAAAGAATCGAATAAGCGAATATATGTTTATATATATCTAAAGAAAGAGCAATAGATTAACAGATTAGATAGATAGTAAAGATGCTTTCAAGTGGTATAATAATAAAGTAAGGAGCTTTTAAGGTTATTTACAAGAAAACCTTAAAAGCCTATTTCACTCAATAATTTTCGAGATTTATAAGAAAGCCAATTAACATATAGTCCAGTAGCTTCAACATTGAAACAATCAAGTCGTCATATACCGCAGCCTTTTAACTCCATCGCATCGTTGTTGCCGTTAATTATAGTGTTTTGGGCTTGCTGTGGTGACGTGTGCATATCCTGTGTGCCACACCACAGAAATTGCGTATACGCCACATGTGTGCAATAAATTTTCATAAATCAATTGCGCGTGCTGCTCTTAACGCGCCCCACTGACTACCGACACGCCCCTTGTCCGCCCACCTGATGCCCACCAGCCAAATTGAAATCAACATCAGATCCGAAACCTCTTACACAGTGATTGTTGTCGTACCTTTTTCAATACCCTGTACTTTATTGTTGTCGGGAGACTATCACACATTCTGATTGTGCTTTAAGCATACAGTGTGTAGGGTATATTCCAGTCGATTATTCTCGTCTCATGCGCTGGTATCAAATTTATGTGCACACAATTATTTCAAGTTCGTTGCGGCAGCCAAATGTAAAGAATAAAATTTAGTGACGAATGCTTATTTTACGCTTCAGTTTTCGACAACTTACGGCAAATGCGATTTCGTTTCCAAATTCTGTTATTCATTCGTTTTCCATTCTTTTTTTTGGCGTCACGGTGCGAAAATTTGATTTGTGCTCTGAAGCAGAAGCTGCCGTTTTAATTTAATTCTGTTTGGATTCTTATTGCCTTCCACATGTACGAGGGAAGATTTATGGCAGACCGTTTTACCAACGCCGGCTGCTATCGAAGGCTGTGGCGGGATAGAGAAGAAAAAACTTGTGGCATGGGTGGGTTTCGAAATGTATTTTTAATATTTAAGCCAAGTTCCCCTGAAATAGCTGAACAGCAGTTTGCTCTTGACCTTCTACTTGGACTGACTGAACTGAAAGTTGCAGCAAAGTCTCTCCATTTAAGCTGAGAAACATCCCCAAGCCAAATTACGTGAACCAACATGTCTGAGCGCTATTAAAATGCGACAAGAATTTCGCGACATTCGCCTAAAGGCAGCCAAAACGAATAAAAATTATTTGTATGTTTATTGTCTTCTATTGAAGCACTCAAAATTCAAGCTGCCCGAGAATACACAGCAAAACAAAAATAAAAATGTGAGAGATGCTCAAGCGGAAAAAAAAACAAGGAAAACAAACGCCAAAACCAGCAAGACAAGCGAGAAAGACAAGTAAGATCCATATTGACATAAAAGCCAATCATTTTAAAATAGCTTTAAGCAGAGTCTACGAGCAGGCGGAAAAAAACATCAAAAGGTTGTTGCCAGAGCGGAAAACAACAAGTACACGTCCAATTTAGGGCCACTGAGAAGAGTTGGTGTTGGGTAGCACGGTCTCTGCCTGGGTGGCTGGCTGAAAGTGTGTCGTGGAAAAAATGTATGCATTTTTCTGCATGAGTACAAAAGCCACCGCAACGCTGACAGCACCAGCAAGCACCACATCCGCTACAAGCAACATTTCGGTTGCAGTCAGCCACAGCCTTATGCACTTTGAACTATCGCCAGTCCTTGGCCGTTGGTCTCTTTGCCAACCAAGTCCCACGGCATATAAAATCAAAAGACAATATTAGCAAGTGAAATTCACAACTCTGTTAGCAATTCATGGCATAGCTGGTTGCAAACTTAAGGCCGTCAAAACTGTGGGCTATGGCAAATCAATCAATTATCACTGGAGCGTAAGACTTGATGATTGCTGTGCCCGACGCCCAACATCAATCATCGTACAACTTAAGTGTAATGCTCTGTGTCGAGTAGATAAATCAGTATCAATACGTTAGTCAACTGAGCTGCCGTTGCAGCTGCAAATGCTATTCATATATTGCAGATTCAAATGATAATGCTGATCAAATAAGAGTCATCTGTCTGTCTCTTACTCTTACTCTTACTCTTACTCTTACTCTTACTCTTACTCTTACTCTTACTCTTACTCTTACTCTTACTCTTACTCTTACTCTTACTCTTACTCTTACTCTTACTCTTACTCTTACTCTTACTCTTACTCTTACTCTTACTCTTACTCTTACTCTTACTCTTACTCTTACTCTTACTCTTACTCTTACTCTTACTCTTACTCTTACTCTTACTCTTACTCTTACTCTTACTCTTACTCTTACTCTTACTCTTACTCTTACTCTTACTCTTACTCTTACTCTTACTCTTACTCTTACTCTTACTCTTACTCTTACACTTACTACTAGTCTTTGCTGTATTTTGAACTCTATAATGCTTTTCGGAGGCTAAAAGAAAACATTAAATCATTGTTATTCAATTGGAAGTTTTTTATAAAACCGCGCAAAACCTCCAAAATTATTTGTTTTAAGCTGATTATAGTCTAGAACACAATAAATATGACTTCATATTCAGAGACAAAGTCTAAAATTAAACAAAACAAAAATTAATAAGTAAATGCCATTCCGAGCTTTAGCAAATTTAAGTAATTCCCAAAAATATCGTGTTTTGCTAGATGTTAAGTGATTAAGATATTTCTAGAAATATTTTATGCAAATAAAGTAAATTTTGTATAGTATTTGTACGCCATTTGAGTGATTGCGTATCTATAGCTATTATCCTGATAATCGCTTACACAAAATAAGAAAACAAAATTTAAGCGTCATTTTTCTTACCTGCCTCCGTGTCTGTTCGCTTGTGCATATTCAAAATGATTTGGCAAGGTTAAACGGCTTCCAAATTCTGGCAATATTCCTAGGTAAATATTTGATGTTTGCTTGCTGGTGCATAAAAATAGCTCAGCTTTTGCAGCATTAAATGCATTCAACTCGAGCATATGTGAAAGGTCTTATTGAAATTGTAAGGCACCACTTAAAAGCTGTATAGATAAACAGTTCAAGTCCTGGGCAAGTTGAATTTAACTGTATATTTAACTGTATATATTGTAAAAAATGGTGAAGCTGCAAGAAGCATTTGGTGGCAGGTCGCTAACGATGATTTTAGCGCATAGTTTGCCATGTGAAAATAATTTTATCAGTATTTTATCTGACTGACTGACTTGAAGAGTGTTCGTCCCTTTGGGCAAATATAAACTTTGTTTCAGTTGCGGCTCAGAGTTTATCGATCTTGCGTCTAGCACCTGGCAATCAGTTTTCGGAAAAGCTGCCCGCACTAGTAGTAAAAGTTACAAATATTTTATCAGCTGGCAAATTGCTTCTCTCGTTGCACAGATAATGACCACAAGTATTTACGATGGCAGCGCAAGGAAGCAATCAGCTTTGCCAATTGCATTTAAAAGTTTCATTGCAATTGCTTTTCGCTTTTAAGTCAATCGGCTTTAAGGTCAGCTGGTCAGCTGCATTGGCCACATGCTCACGTTAAGTGCACATCAACTGGCGAGCAGTAATTGCCGCAGGCATCTTTGCTCAATGAGCTTCATTATGCTGTGTTTGTGCTTAGCTTTGCACAAGTCCAAGTTTGCAAGCTCGTGATATTGTTGCCAACCAGCCTAAGGTGCCCACAGAGCGCACAAACAGTTTCTGGTCTTGTCGACTTCGCCCATATCGAGAGCAGCATAGGCCACAGCTCTGCGGGCTTGTGGAGATCCACTGCACTAAAGCTCGATTTCTGTTAAACGAATTATAAACGTTTATAATTACGATTCACAAATGAAATTAGATTAACTTTTTATTTCAATTTCAAATGCACTTAGCTCGATTGATTGCCTGCATGCATATGTTATTCATTTTTTGCATTTTTATTTCTATAGAACTGTGAATTTCAACAAATATTCACGCCTTGCGCGGATCAAACTAGAGAGCATGCTCAACTGGAAGATACCCTGTAATTCGAAAGTAAGCCCATACAAAGTTATATATGTGAGTTCGAAAGAAGTGAGCTGCATTGGCAGCGGCTCATGTCCGTATGTTTGCCTAAGTATTACGACTAGCTATAACTAATACGAGTCAAATGTGAAGAAGGTATATACATCTTACAAATGAGCAGCTTGTCTATTGTGGTATGTCTAGAACCTCTCGCTTCTGCGGTGTCGACCTCTCATGAACCCACCCCAATTGTAGTACTAAACGAACTTAGCTACTGCTAGATAGAGTTTATCTCCACGTTTACGATTACAGGGTATACAAAAAACAAATTTC